CAAAGCTGTAGAATCATTGCGTACAGTGGCAGCAGAGCATAGTGCCCAAGATTTGGAAATACACGTTGTACCAACATTGCAACGTTTGGTCTCAGGTGATTGGTTCACTTCACGTACATCAGCTTGTGGACTCTTCTCTGTATGTTATCCAAGAGTTACCCAACCCGTAAAAGCAGAATTACGTGCAAACTTCCGTAAGTTGTGTCAAGATGAAACGCCGATGGTACGCAGAGCTGCAGCTAGCAAATTAGGAGAATTTGCAAAAGTCGTTGAAATTGAATATCTCAAATCAGATTTAATACCGAATTTTGTGCAGTTAGCACAAGATGATCAGGTATGTAGTTTTTTGTGGTGAAATCATATGATTTTGTTATCTTTTTGAATTACCTTAAGGATTCTGTACGTTTGTTGGCCGTAGAAGCCTGTGTTAGCATTGCCCAATTGTTACCTCAAGAAGATGTTGAGCACGTAAGAAAACCAAAATATTTATCCATTTAGAATGTTGCTTAATTTCTTTATTACAGTTGGTTTTGCCGACTCTACGTCAATGTGCCAGCGATTCTTCTTGGCGTGTGCGATATATGGTGGCAGAAAAGTTTGTAGATTTACAAAAGGCTGTTGGGCCTGAGATTACACGTGTTGACTTAGTGCCCGCTTTTCAGGTTGGTGTACACAAATTTTACAATTATTATTATTATATTTTGTTGTTTGAGATTTTAAATTTAATTTAAAGATATTCATATTTCTCTATATGTGCTCAGAATGTGTTATTTGACCTGGCTTTATACCTATGTATATACAAACATAACCTTGGTTACCATTTTAGTATTTACTGAAAGATGCAGAAGCTGAAGTTCGTGCTGCAGTTGCTACAAAAGTAAAGGATTTTTGCGCTAATCTTGATAAAACCAACCAGGTCCAGATTATCATGAATTCAATATTGCCATATGTGCGCGATTTGGTGTCAGATCCCAATCCTCATGTAAAATCTGCTTTGGCGTCCGTTATTATGGGATTAAGTCCTATGTTGGGTGCGTACAATACTGTCGAACACCTTTTGCCCTTATTCCTTATACAACTCAAAGATGAATGCCCAGAAGTTCGTTTAAATATAATATCTAACTTGGATTGTGTTAATGACGTCATTGGTATTCAACAACTCTCACAGGTTATAATTAATTTGTCGTATTGAATTTTTTTGTATCCTAATTTTTATTGTATTTTCACATAAATCTAGTCGCTATTGCCAGCTATTGTTGAATTAGCTGAAGACTCGAAATGGCGAGTACGTTTGGCAATTATTGAATATATGCCCGCATTAGCAGGTCAATTGGGGCAAGAATTCTTCGATCAAAAGCTTCGTGGCTTATGTATGGGTTGGTTAAATGATCATGTGTACGCCATTCGAGAAGCAGCTACTTTGAATATGAAGAAGTTAGTTGAACAGTTTGGTGCCCAATGGGCTGAGCAAGCTATTATTCCTATGATCTTGGTTATGTCACGTAATAAAAACTATTTACACCGTAAGCGATACTTATTTTATATTTATTTAAAATAACAATTAATTTTACATTGTTTATTCGTAGGTATGACTTGTCTTTTTTGCTTAAATATGCTGGCTGAGGTTTGTGGAACAGATATCACAACCAAATTGCTGCTACCTACAGTACTTCTATTGGCAGCAGATCCAGTGGCCAATGTTCGATTCAATGTTGCAAAAACACTACAGAAAATTTCCCCTTTCCTTGAAGCTAGTGTTATTGACTCACAGGTGAAGCCAACACTTGAGAAGCTAAATGCAGATCCAGATGTCGATGTAAAACATTTTGCGTCAGAAGCGATTGCGGGTATCGCAGCAGGTATAGAAACACTTTCCGGCGTACATATTTGTCGCTGACTGCATATGTATATAAGGATTTAGTTATTATTCCTTTTTGTAATGCTTAGAAATGGAATTAGACATATTTAGAAGTGTTATTCCACCAGTTGAGGGTAAAGTGAATTCTGCAGCCCTAATGGCTAAATTGGCTGTCCAGCCGCCAACAGAACGTACCATAGAAGACGACGCATTTAATTGTTAGTTGAGTGAAATTTGAATTTATCCTTTTTATATATGTATATATTCATACTGGTAAATAATAATTTCATTTTAATTGTTGCAATCAATGTATTAACTGTCCGTTTTCCAGTATGTGTCTGTTGTGCATTTTCACCACATATTTTAACTGGAAATTCCGATTCAATTGATTAGCTTTTARGATTTGTCTGGTATCTAGTTTAAGGCATTTCTATTGCAATGATTATTTATCAAAGAAAGTTAATAGTGCAGTAATGCAAACATGCTTCTATTAATAATAATAAATTTGTTAATATCTTAGTGTTTGTTTTATCATTCTTAACGATAGATAAGTGTGTTAGGAATGACTGTGAATTTCGTTGTTAGGGAGAGTAAACAACAAGAGAATATAATTTAAATAAGTTCATACAATATACAGGCGGCTATATACTCGAAAATATATGGGTGTTTTATGTACAATAACTTTCATGCAAATGCTTGCATTACATACATACTTATGTTAYCCATATTTTGTCTAGTCCTCTTTGTTTTTGAAAGTGACTGTTTTAATGTTGTTTGTTTCTCTTTCTTCTATTTACAGCGTAATCACTTAAAATTCAACATTTTCATTTACAATTTTTTTATCATTTTTTTTAATTTAGCCGAAGTAAAAAATGGCAAGGATTAAATAATAATGGCTCAAAATTAACAGTATAAATTTAAATACCATCGCGAAGTCAACATACTTTAAGAGCTGCTTTATTGAACGTTTGCAGATTATTACTGTGCGAAGCAAATAATAAGAATAATACATATTTAAGCATTACATCAAATTATAAAGATACAAAGAAACAAAAAAATAAAAACGGATTGCACACAATCTTTTATTATTTAATATAAACTGAAATAAAAGTAAAATTTTAAGAAGTAGTTCACTCAAGTGCATACAATAATACAAATTGATGTTATTTATTAAATGTATTATTTTATGTTTAGTAAACAATTGGGTATTAAATAAAGCTTATATTGCATTACAATACGTCCGTAAATTATGTATGACATGTTCCCACATAGTGCATTTTATGAAAGATTAAACTGATTGGACATTATCAGTGTGGCTTTACACCTGGAAAATCGACAACCGACCATATATTCACCAGGCGCCAAATCTTGGAAAAGACCCGTGAAATGAGAATCAACACTCACCACCTCGTCGTCGATTTCAAAACAGCTTTTGACAGCAGGATCTCCGCAAAACTAACACGGTTGTGTAAACTGACGTTGAGCAACACCAAAAGCTCCTTCAGCATCGGAAAAGATCTCTGTACTATCTTTTATAAATGTGCTCAGCTACTGGCGTACGATGATGATATGGATATCATTGGCCGCAACACCCGCGCCATTATTTCTGCTTTCTCCAGATTAGGTAAGTAATCGAAGCAAATCGTAAGAGTAAGACAATCACTCCCCTGGAAACACCAGGTGGAGGAGAGGACCTGGCTTCGCTTGGAATCTGCAATCAGCATCACATCGGCTATRACCGCGTAAGCGGTATCTACGCTAGTAAAGATGTTTCCACTTAAAATATATAACAAAAATTTAAGCTATAGAATTAATTACTCTTATTTAGTTGATTTATTGAATATATCGTAGATTAAATAATTAACGCAAATCAAATAATTTAAAATCAGCAAATTACCAGTATTACTAAACCAYTTCGATCCATTTTTATTAGAGGTGAAAAGTGTGGAAGTGTGATAATGATATTCTCATGATATACTGGATATACTATACTTTTGCAGCCAAGGATGTACTTTCGACTCGATTTTATTTATTTTGGTCAATTTTATCAATTTTCATTTATATAATTAACTTGTTGGCTGATTTATGACAATCGTTATCTTAGGTATATGAGAATTAAGGAAGTATGAACACGAATCAACTCATTTTTGACACACATGAAACCGGTTTGTTTAAGACTTCTCATACCATCTTGGGTGTGAAATTGTATGTCTCTGTCTTGTTTCCTCTTCCTTATTGGCGTAGACATCGTTTACGCGGTTTTAGCCGATTTTACCCTGCTTCGCGGGTACTGCGTCGAATACTTTCAGACGTGGAACGTTTTCAACCATTCGGACGACATGACCTAGCRACCGTAGCCGCTGTCTCTTAATTCGTTGAACTATTTCAATGTCGTCGTAAACTTGTACTGCTTGTACAATACTCAAAAGACCATAAGTCTTCCGCAGAACCTTTGTCTCGAAAGGTCATAACTATTTGTTTGATGACAGGAAATATTTCGTCTTGCCCTCGCTCACTACCAGACCCATTAACTTCGATTCCTTATCCAGTCTTTCGAAAGCAGTACTAACTAACTAACTATCTCGGTATGATGTTTTTATCTTTTTTAAATGAAATAAGACGTTTTCTGGAGTAGTTGGAGCATTAATTAACGGTTCGGCCGAAAGCTGTTCAAGGTATAAACAGAAAATATGTACTCAGAGTTTGCAAGCTGAGCTTGAAAAAGTCCAAATTCTAAGATTTTTTACAAAATTTAATTTATCCTAATATACATATATGCATTGTGACAGTCTTTATATCTGACTCTACCTTATAATCTCATRACCGCACCAAATTTGTTGAATATCGACCGTTCAGTTTGTCTARTAGCTACATATATATATAGTGTTCCGATCTGTACAATCGACAAATAAGAATCAACAGYCACATATTTATTCAATGATATTTTGTATGAAATACTTCGGACCTTTGCATTTCAAAGTCTAAATATTTGATCACCCTACTGTATATAATATTGACATACTTATTTAGTATATAAAAACATTTAAATGCTCTTGAGAGAGCTCCAAATATGGAGCAACAAATTCCGGTTGATTGCTTGCAATAGACATTCGTAATATAATGTGATCAGTGCTTGCTCAAATCTACGACCGGTAACAACTTGTTGAGCAAACGCAAATATTTAAGTTATTGTTGCGCGCAGCGTGGCACACGAAATTGTTTTGGCGTATTTTCAAAGTGAGCAGTGGCTAACAGTTAACAAATTTCAGAAAATATATTAAGCAATATACAGGTACACATACATAAATATGTATTCAAGCATACTTCTGCTTGTCGCGTGCATTTAAAAGTATATTTGTGGAAATAAAACGTTCATTTATGAGAGCGTATAAASTATTGTATATACATATGTATAAGCGTACTTAGGCATTTATTATTAAAGTTTAATATTACTTTATTGTTATTGAATCATTATGTAGAAACTTATAACAAACCATTAATTAAGTTGCCAAAACAGAAACTGATTAAGTAGTTCAGACAGCGTGTTATTGAAACTAATAACTGCGCAAGAATTTCACTGTGAAGTTATAATATATGTTTGAGCCAAGTTTCCTCTTCGTTGAGAGCTCAAATAAAAGGACACCTATAAGTTGGTTAGAAACTCTGGCGGAAAGGTTAAGTAAATATTTAAATTGTCGACTTATTACTTTTAACATGTTTTTCACATTATCAAAATTGTATGGTAATGAAGAAAATATTATATTACCGAACTAATGGTTTTTTTTATTTAGTATGCAATTAAACTTGTGCAAAGTTCATTGTGTTATGAGAATTAAATGCAAAACATTTCGGCGAAACACTCTGCACATCATTGTTTTATGTACACACTACATACTTACTTATACACTTACACTACACATACTTATATGCACCTACTTTTTATACCATATTTATATATCCTCAAGCTGTAAACATAAGAATGTGAGTATATATTATATGTACATACGTATATGCATATGCATTAGGGTGTCGGTTATTTC